TTGCATTAACGTACACAGCTATGATTTAATAAAAAAAAATAATGTGCTATTATTAAAAGGCCAACTCATATAGATCAATGGAACAAAATACATAATCCAGAAACAGACCACTACATAGAGGGTGGCTATGAAGTTCATGTGCAAGTTAAAATAGTGTGCAATTTAAAATTGTATACGAACTTTATGGCCACCCTGTACATGGTAAATTCATTTTCAACAAAGGTGCTAAGGAAATTTCAATGAAGGAACTTTAACAAATAGTGCTGGTACATGTGACCATATATACGTAAAAAATAAACTTGATACCATATACAAAAATTAACTCAAAATAGATTATTTAGGTCCTAAATGAAAAAGTGAATAAAAGTAAAGAAGTTAAATTAGAAGTAAAACTTCCATATGAGATGAGTAAATCTTTGTGAAAATGAGTTAGGGTCAGGCAAATACTTTTTTAAAGCCATAAAAGGAAAAATTGACAACTTGGATCTCATTAAAATTTACAATTTCTTCTCTTCCAAAGGCTGTTTTAAAAAATGAAAAAAACAAGGCATAGATTGTAAGAAAATATTTTCATAATACATCTGGTAAAGGGTTGGTAGACATTATACATAAATAATACTCAAACTCAATAATACGTAAACAAAGAGCTCAGCTAAAAACGTGCAAAAGATCTGAACACGTACTTCACTAAAGTAGATGGAGATGGCAAAAAACAAACCACACAAAAAGATGCTCACAGCATTAATGAAATGCAAATTAAATCCACAATGAAGTATCACTACATATTAAAATAGCTTAATTTTTAAAAAACTGACAATATGAAGTGCTGTTAAGAATGCAGAGCATCTGGAACTCTCAAACGTTTCTGGTGGGCATGCAAAACAGTATTTTGAAAAATAGTTTAGCAGTTTCTTATTCCTACATAATTGCCCAAGAGAAATAATGACATATGTCCACACAAAAACCTGTACATGAATGTATATAAAAGTTGTATTTATAATTGCCCCAAACTGGAAAAAATCCAAATGTCTATCAAAAGGTGAATGGATAAACAAATCTGGTATAGCCATACAGTGGAATACCATATACAGTAATAGAAAGGAACAAACTACTTATACATAAAAACATATAGATCACTTTCATATTATGTGAAGTGAAGAAAGCAGACATGAAAGGCCACATACTTACTATATGATTCTGTTTATGTGAGCGGTCTGGAAAAGATAAAACTATAGGTGGATAAATTAGATCAGTGGTTGATAAGAGCTGGGGGTATGGGGAAGGGATTGACTATATAAAGACTGAACAAAGCAACTTTTGGAGGTTAATGAAAATACTCTGTATCTATTACAGTAATATTTACACAACTATATAAGTTTGCCAAAATTCATAGAACTGTAAACCAAAAAAAAACAAAAAAGACTTTTACTACATATAAAGAATATCTCAAAAAACTTGAGAAAAAATTTCCTTCAAGCTGTGCACCTTTGTACTCAACCCTCCTTGGCTCATGCACACACTTCCCTGGCTCCTAGCAACTAACCACCCATCTACTTTCTGTCCCTATAGATTAATTTTGCCCAATGTTTTGAGTTTCATTTATATTACTGCATTTAACAGCAATTCATTCCCTTTTGATGATGAGTAGGATTCTACTGCATGGATATATTCTACAATTTATTCATTCAAATGTTGACAGACATCGAGTAGCTTCCAATTTATGGATATTATGAAGATGCCTTGAACACTGATGTACAAGTCTTTGGATAAACATATGTATTTATTTCTTGCATGTAAATTCTAAGAAGTGAATTTTCTAAAAATCCAATATCCATAATAATTCTGGGATAAAAGTATTATTCTCATTCTAAAGATGTGAAAACCAAGGTTCAGAGCGTTAAATATTAAGATATTACAGGATATAGGGAAGTCAAGATTTTAGTCCTCATCTGTTTGATGCCAAAGAGTGTATTATTTCCTTTATTCCATCCTGTCTAATACTGCTGTGGGAAAAAAACCCACCAAACCCTAAAGAACAGGAAATAAAACAGTAAAGAAATTTAGACAGTAAGCAGAATAAAGAGAAACAAACAACAGTGGGAAGTCCCCAGTAGATATGACCTAGTCCCAGGGATGGTGTGGGTTCCAAGACTATGGGAAGTGGGAGACAGGCACTCTAAAACTAACTAGAAATTCATGACAGAGACAAAGGACAGCTGTAGAGTGTGAGCATGTCCATTGCCCCTAATGTCCACACTCTTAAGTGAGCTTGCCAGGGTATAGGAAAGGGAAGACGGCTTTGGGACCATTCCTAGTTGCCAGGTATTAACCCTGAAGTATGAATTTTGGCACTTGACAAATAAACTCCTGATGACAAGGGAATACTTTGATTTATAATGGTCCTGGACTCCACGGTCAAAGATCATTGAATTTTTTACTACACAGTTATTTCCACATGTAGTGAAAACTACGGTGGAGGCTGGCCAAGTTTAATTTGCAAGAGGACAAACCAAAGATCACTTGCTTACTCCTCAAGACCATGCCTCCCTAACTTTCCATCTCTGACCTCCATCCACATTCCTCTCTTTTTCCCTTTAAAATCCAGTCCCTCCCATCAAGTCCATCTAGAACTCTTCTGAGTAAAACTGAGCTTTGTACCTTCGTATATCTAACTGGGCCTTGACTATTAATTATATACACATTAAATGTAGATATAAAGTCAGTGTAGACAGACACATTAAGTGTAGTTATAAAGTCCATGTAGCTATGAAGTCAGGTAGTCAGTTCATATGTAGGGAATATGTACATTTGGGTGTGAGCAGAGTAACTGCATCAAACTAGTCTGTTTAGTACACTGGACTCCTTCCCAGCTAGAGCATCTTATTTCCCTGCCACAGTTTTATTAAAAAGGCCTTACCCTTCATCTTGAGAATAGTTTCTATGGCTTCCTCCTCCCCTTCTTTTTGGAAAGAGCATCTGCTCCACTGTCACCTCCCCATTGAGGTCTACTTTTCCTCAGCTACATTTTGAGTAGCAACCATTAATTTATGGAGGGAAATCACTGATAAATGAATTTTACTGACTAATCCTATTACTAAAACAAAACAGAACTCCAGTATGCTGCTGGTTTGAAAGGACAGGTCTGGCCCCACATTAGAAGCTAACAAGAGGCTTTTTCTATAGGCTATGAAAGCCTTCTACTCCTTCCACCTTTAGGAGAACAATTTTAGATCACTGTCCCTGAAATTGCTGCCATCAGTGCCTCCCAAAGAGGGCACTTAATAATTTGAGGGGAGGGGTGACTGAGGAGGGCCATCACATCCCCCACACCCCACTTGCATACTACCTGTCAATGGCTAATGCTTGCTTTCTCTAATGCCATCCTCTTTGAATGTATCTTCTTTGAGGCTGTTGACTCTACCAAGGTACAGTAAATGCCTATGGTCCCTATTCTAATTGTTCTATCCTTTTGCCCCAAGACTCTCATATGTATTTCACATAGATACAAGCTGCATACTATTTACAGTGAGAGACTGATATGAAAATTAAGTAACATTGCTGTGTGGCACAGAAGTCTCATCATTATTTCCCATTTTTCTCACATTTACCTATCTTCATTTCTTGACATTGTTATACTATTTATTCTTTTTCAAAAATTCCAGAATATTATGGGTTTGCAAATGTTTTGGTTACATGAATTGCCTTTGAACAGAAGCAATGAGACCTCTGTTTGACTCTCAGAGCTATGAGAGTGTCCATCACACAGTGTGCACTCTACCCACTAGATATGAATTTACCCATTCCTTCCTCTCTCTTTCCACCTGTTGATTTCTGTTGAGTTTTACTGCCATATATGCATGAAATTGGACTAATCCATCTACACTGTTTTTTCTGAGTTAGACTTCCCAACTTGGCCTGAGAAAGGCTCATGTTACACATGTAACTCATATTCTCACCCTCTCTTTAATTCCCATATTTTCATTAAAAATTCATATTTTACTATTTCCTTCAATGGTAAAGTTGCTGACAGCTGGTAGTTGATACATTTTGATTTGATGTGGGGGAGAGACAGAGATTGCAGAAGCTCGTGCTTGTGCCTCTGCTTATGTTCCCCAAGTTCAATACACTTTGCATACTTACTTTCCTGAGACAAGCTCTCTTTCCTGGGCACCAGTCTCCTTACCTGTAAGGTGAAGTAAGTCAATCTCCCCTCCCCCAATGTGAGATATGAAAATGGACAGGCTGAGGTCCACAATTCCCTCACCCTTCACCACCTCCATGGCAATCATCCTAGTCAGTGCCAGCAACATTTCTTGCCTGGTTAAGGGAAACCAGGATCTTAGCTGGTCTCCCTTGCTTCCACATCACCTCCTAGAATCTACTCTCCACACAACAGAGTGATCCTCTCATATTATAAATCCTTTTATGTCACTCCTCTGCTCAAAACCCTGGCAGGCAGATGCTTCGTCAGATGCTTTTGTCTCACTTGGACAAAAAGCCTAAGTCTTTACAGCAAAAGGAGAAATACCCACTCCCATTTCTATGACCTCCATTCTCTTGTTTTTCCTTTCACTCACTCTGCTCCCCCTACCCCTTGCCCCCACACTCCTCTCCTTACTTTTCCTGGAAGCCCTCACAAGGGGGTCTTTGTACTTGCCATTCCCTCTGCCTGGGAAGTCCTTGTTCTAGGGGCCACAAGGCTCACAGCCACACCACCTTCTGCTACACTGTTTGCTTCATTGTCACCTTCCCAGTAAGGGCTTCCCTGACCACCCTATTCAAAATCATAACTACTACACCAGTGGCCTGGCCTATACCACTTCCCTGCCTTATTTTTCTCCATAGTACATAACACTATCCAATATTGCTCTTTATTTCTTTTTTTTGTCTGTCTCCTTGACTTGAATATAAGCTCCACAGAAGCAGGGATTTATGTCTGTTTTATCTACTGCTGAGTTCCTAGTGCCTGGCCCATAAGAGCTCAAGAATATATGTTGAGCAAGTGATAAAATCACCCAAAATAGCTGGAATTACCAGCAAATTGTGTAGTGGTGAGCCTATGGTTTTCCAAAGATATCTAATATATATATTATATATATATATATGTTGAATGAGAAATTCTCCAACTACCAGCACCATTCCTTTTCTCCCCTACTCATTAAAATATAGCATAATGTATATGAACTATTATAGGAATAGCCTTGAATCCAATTTAAGTTGTTAAAAAATTATTTGCAAATCTTAATAATTGTTATAAACTGAATGAAATGGCCAATCATGTCACCAAACTGTGACAGTAAAATTTGAGAACCACCAGGTAGATTCTTTTCAAGCCTTTCCATTCCTCTAAACCAGTGTTCTCAAAAACTAGGCCCTGATCAGAACCATAGCATTGATACAAGGAGTCACACACCCTGACGGCAGTAAGCATTTGAATACTGGTCAAGGTCTCACATGTTCATATCTTCCTGTTTTCCACTGTGCAGATAAAACACATAGTATTTATGAACACAAATTGATATTAAATTCATAACAGCTCTTGGTAGTTACATACTTAATCAACCAATAAACACTTAGAGTACAACCAGCAGTGTATAAGGTTTCATAAAGTTTTGTTTACAAAGCTACAAAAAGGATCTCACACTTGAAAAGACTGGGAAGCAACGCCTGACCACAAGGCTGCAATCTGTAAATTATGTAAGTCCTTCCCTGTTTTCTAAAAAGTATGATACCTTTCATGAAATACTGTATTTGTAAACAACTTTCTAGACAGAAGGACAGTCCTTTGAACTGTAAGACTGAGAATCTCAAAGCAGGTGAGAAGCAGTAACATGCAGCAAAACCTGGGAAGGTAAATATGACTGTACTCAGATGCTCGTCTGGTCCTCATGCTTGTCAGTCTCTTCCAGTCTGGACTGTAATTCCCACATTATCAACATCACGTTAGGCATTGAACAAAAAGAAAATTAAAGCTTAAAAAGTCATTATTTTCCAATCTATATAGCTCTAAAATGCTCTGAGTTTATTAAATCCTTTGTCTTTATAGAGTTTTTTGAGATTTTCTGAAGATGGCCATCATACTCTCAAAGTATGTAAGAATGCTTTCCCCTCGGTATAAAAATCAGGTTTAATATCTTGAACATCACCCATAAGGAACACAAAAAGAAACTTATTGTGGGAATTTCAACTATTAGCAACACAAAGGCAAACTCTGGGCATCCTCTGCAAAAAATTAAGTACGAAATTTCTCTATAGTGGCTCTCCAAATTTTTAGTTGCCATTTGATCTTTCCACTTCGTCTCCCTCATTTTTACTCTCTAAGAGTGTTGTGATAACATAATTTTTAGTTTCACAGAATTCAAATTATTTTTATTCTGTGTATTTGAAAATGTACTGCAAACTTTGGTGACCACAAATTAAGGTAGGTTGGGAGAACTGAAGTTGGACATCTCTGTTTTAGACTGCTGATCCTCGGGTTAAAATTCCTAAGGGCTTCTGTAGTCAATATGGGGGCTGCTTGAGCTGAGTAACAATCCTAGGCAGCAGAGTTAATGGAAGTGGGGGGTGGGGAATTACAAAATCATAGCACTTTTTTCAAAAACTGACCAGGTCAGCTGGCAAATACCTCAGTCAAGGAGAAGGAAACTGGCCATGACAGACTGCACTTAAACTTTTTACTTCCTTTCTCTCAGTCTTTTTCCTCTTCTTTGCCTAGTCTCTCTTTCTGAATAAAAATGTGAAAAGTAGAGTTATAGGTGCTTAGCATAGTACTCATCGTTCAGCCGTTATAAAAATGATTTGTCAATGCAGTCAATGGCTAAGAGTACAGTAACATAGGGAATAATGGAAAATTTTAGTACCTTAAATTTGAAGTATCAGAATTTTATCAGATTTCTTTTATTTATTTATGTATTTAATTTTTTGAGACAGAGTCTCAAGTTGTCATCCTGGGTAGAGTACCATGGCATCACAGCTCACAGCAACCTCAAACTCTTGGGCTCAAGTGATTCTCTTGCCTCAGCCTCCCAATTAGCTGGGACTCCCAGCACTTACCACAATGCTCGGCTATTTTTTGTTGCAGTTGTTGTTGCCTAACTGGCCTGGGCTGTGTTCAAACCCGCCACCCTTGGTGTATGGGGCTGGCAAGCATTTTCTTACTTGCCTCTCACTACCACACTCATGAACTGGCAATGAATTTCCTCTTCCAAGATTGCTTACCTAAATGGTAAGCAGAAAATCTCATATTGCTTTGGGACTTGAGGCAAAGATTCCCTACTAAACCACAATCCCCCAATGTCCCTGGATCCTGTCTGGTTAGGAAAGTGGCACAGGACCTTGGGCCCAATCTCTGGATGGAGAGCAGGGAGAAGCATGGAAGCTTAGTGGGTAACCTAACACCATCTCCTCCAAACTCTTCAGCCTACAATGAGGGTACTGAGGTCTATGGAAATTATGCTAGCACTCACATATTTATATGGCCAGAACTAGAAGAACCCTAGTCTCCAGGCTTCCAAACTAGGATTTCCTTTCAGACAGCTGCTCCTAAAATTTGAAAGTAAATTTTGACTCAGGGAACACTGACAGCAACTTTGGGGCATGTTTAGGGACCAGTTCTTAAAGTGGCCTGCAACCGGAAATCTGCCCTATTCTGATTTAAGGGTATGTCACTGAAATCCAAAAATTGCAAAAATTCAATGATGGCAATTGCCATCTTCTTTTATGATTTCATTCTTTCTCTTTTCTGTTTATATCCAGTTCATCATGAACACCCAAGATGCTGCTAACATACAAAAAGTAGGGTGGGGAGTAGGGGAAACTAATGTCAACCTTTAGGGAAGTAGATGTAAATAATTTAAATGGCCTAAAATAATTCTCATTACATTTCAAAGCTTATTTTGTAAATTTACAACTTTTGTCTTTAATACACCTAAAAATGGCCCAAGAAAGTCTTATTCTGAAGAGCCTGGTTTTGCTGTATCCTAGATAAATGCATTGTACCACTGATTAATCCTCCCTGCCTCAGTCTTTTGCCTGTTACTGCAGCTGGTGCCCTAAGGCTTTTAAGCTGAGTTAGTCTCTTCACCTACACTTAACTCTCTCTAGGTTTATCTTTTTTCAGATATTTCCAACTGTACTAAGTGGTTCAGCTTCCTGAGACATTTTTTGTGTCATAAATTTTAACTGTAGAGTGACACTAAATCCCAAAAGAAATCATAAGAATTATTAGCATAAACTGAAAACACCAAGTAATCTCTCTTACCTTCTTTAGTCAGATGCTCAATTTTCAAATACAGATATTTGGATAGCTCCTTAGGGCATATACTTCTGGTAACTGCCTGCCCTTCTCCTTGAAGACAGTATTTTAGCTATAAGCCAGGACCTTAAAGTTCCAGAATATCTATGCTGAAATGCTTTAGACATCAGCACGGCTAACCCAAATTCCTCATCATACAAATCAATAAACTGAGACTCAGAGAGGGAAGTTTTTTGTCTAAGATCTTCACCCAGTTAAACATTTCTCATCTTGCAACAGTAACATGCTATGTTCTCTTTCCATTTATAGTCTACTTGTTACCACCTGGATTACTCTTTCACCAACCGGTATAATTGCTTATGGTTTTGGGGGGCAGTAGTTTTCTTTTTTATTTTTGTGACTTCCAGTTCCAAATTATTCATGCACTTTTAAATGCATACCATGAACATATATGACTAAGGGATTTCTATAAATTGACATACTATAGCAAGACCTCTGAGATGATAAAGTAGCTTAAATAGGAGCTTGGATCTTAATCCTAGTTCTGCTAAGCATTACCTGTAACCTCTTGAGGAAGTCTCTTCAGGTCTCTTTTTAAATATGAAAGGAGGGTGTGCAAGAGCCAGGATTCTCAACTATCCTTGGAGTCCTTCAAAGCTGAAATGGGGTCCAACAATCTAATGAAAATCATAGGTTTGCTTACTCGTAACAAAGCTAGAATATCAAGCTAAAATATCAAGTTTACTTTGAAGTCCACTAGGTATCCGGTGCTGATCAGAAGTTCTCATTGGCATATATACATATCTTCAAGTAAAAATCTCAGAATTAATTACTTCTAGTTTGTTTGAAAGTCAACATTTTAGAAAAATGTGGCCTATGGGGAAACAATAAAAAGAAGTGAGAGTGGAGGGAGGGAGAAAAATGTAGGTTTGGCACAAAAAAAGAAAAACCAAATTCGCATAAATATAAAATTCCTAGCACCAAGAAACTTCTGTCCTGTGAAAGTGTCCAAATGCAAAGTGCCGTGTATCAAATCTTAGTTTTTGAAAATAGCACTTGACAAACACAAAGTAGGCCCTTAGACTTAAATTATAAAGTATTTTTCTTTACATCTGTATTGCATATACAGCTAGATTATATTGCACAGATAACTTTATAAAAGAGGCCTTCAAGGAGTTTAAATCTCTTAATGCAAAATACAACAGTTCATTCAGCCATGTTCTACACCTACACTTAAAAGGGCATTAGCATGGATTACATTTCATTTCCAATCTATAGGGCCTGAAATCTACAGGTGTTGCCAACTCTGGCTTACAATCTTTCTGTGTTAACCCGGCAAAGTGGGAGGTTGTGTCTCACAAATGAGCCCTGGACTGGGGCATGGGAGATGTGAGTTCTATTCCAGGTGGCCCCCTGTTTAATTCTCTACATCCAGCACAATACTTTGCATATAACTGATGCTCAGTGAATGGAACTGCAAAAATATTCATCATGTGCCAATTCACATTACCAATATATTGAAAACTTAAAAGAACATTGTGTCCTCACCTTCAAAAAACTGAAACCCAGTAACATAAAATATGGGTAGTCTGGTGGAAGCAATAACATTATTTATTACCAGCCAAAGGATTAATGGCAGTTACATAGAAAAAGCCTTTCAGAGTAAGTTAAATATTTCTGTTTGCTACATACAAAACTAGGCTGAGAGAAAGCACGTAATTTGTTCAAGATCACACGATTAGTAAACTGAGGCCCAGATTTTAATCCAGGTCTATAAAGCCCATACTGTTTGAAGTATACAACACACACAAACATATTG